GGCCAACCCCATCCCTTTCACCGAGGCTTATCGCCACCACGTCTCCGCCCTTGGCATTTACTTTGATCTCCATCGTGTCCTTATCCGGAGCATGATTGATTGCCCGCCCCCCCCCGGTCTGCTGCTCTCTTATCTGCAACGAAATCCATGGCAGCACCTACGAAAAGGACAGCTATGGAACTCGTCCTGCTGCGTCCTTTGTGTTCTCCACTCGGCCATTCTTATTGTGGCCAGGTCTTGGAACAACAACGACGGCCACCATGCCAACAGAACAAGCACAAGTATATAATATATATGATGGGGGTATGCAGTTTAACCATGCAACGCCAAGTTTGTTCTGCACTGCCACCAGGAAGCTGACCGCGCAACCAAAAATAATGGCAGCGGGCCAGCGCTTGCTCCGGGATAAGCCTCCACTTCATTGGTTCTTCGTACGATTCTGGAGATCGAAGCCACCTGCAATGGTCGTAGCGGGTCTATCGTTGATATATGCTCCTTATGTCAATGAGGTCATTGCAGATCAAATTAGGTTGGTCTCGAAGGGAATCTAGCTATACAAAAGAAACGACAGTTCCAGCATCACTTGAGCAGCAATTTTATGTCTGAACTCAGAGAAAGGTTCAGTAACGTAAAAGAAAACATGTCGGTGCCGGCAGAATTCAGTTTAGTCAGTATCGTTTATCAGGTAAAATGAACTACTTTGACGATCTGAGTAAATACGATGTATGAAGCTCAGCTTCGTCGCAAGTCTCTGCTCCATAGATACACCGATGGTTACCCACAGAACATTCACGGTTGAAGGAAATAGATTCTTCTACGACATAAAAAGAATCGGCATGCGGTCATATGCATGTTATAAACTTGGGGAAGAGGCGGTCGTTGCTGCTGCTTGCCGACGCACGGTAGCCCGGTGAGCCGGTGCCGAGCAGTGGGCGCGGCTGAACCCAGGAAACAGCCCAGGCGTGTGGCCGAGTCAAACGTGTGAACGCGGCCTTTTCCTTCTGTGCGCATCCAACCCACGGGCTCACAGTGGGCGGGCGGGCCACCGCGAGACGGCACGACGCCTCTCTCTTGGGAGCTGTCAGGACACACGGCCCTCGAGCTCGCGCAGCCGCCCGATGCCAACCGACGCGTATTTTCTCCCTGTAATATATATAGCGTAATTTTTTTTGGAAAAAAAAAATATTTTTGAAAAAAAAATATTTTTGAAAAATTCTTATATAACATCTTTGGTCACGTGAAAAGATTATTATATTCCTATTTCATCGTTTTCATTTTATATCACCCCTACGTCATGCTTGCTCTGCTATACCTGCCCTTATCTGCCTTTTCCCTGTGCAAGGAAGGAGAGAGTGTGACAATTATGACTCTCGTTGCCCTTGTGGAAGCACAAGTGATCATCATTGAGGAATGAGGGGTGCGGTTTGTTCTTAGTCACTGGATCCAATAAGAATTGCTAATTTTCTATTGCTAAATGGGTTTATTAGAGGCATAGGCCTAGCACTCATTATGCCTCATTCTTTGGGTCCAATAGAGGTTGTTACGTCTCCATTGATGAGCAACTCCGACAGAGGCCTCCATTATTGGGTGGGTTTGACGAAGGCAAAGGCATCACTCTCATTGTTACACCTCTTTGGAAGGAAACCTCACACTTAACGATAAAGAGAGGCACGAGGTTGTGACGACGACCCCTACTGTAACAAATCAATAGAGTAAATGATAGGAAAGATAATGACAGAGGTGATGCGGGGCGATAATAGAGGCACGGGCAAGTTTGGTCTAGTGGGGGATAAGGATAAAATGATTATTTATAAAAAAATATTTTGTGAGAATTTTTCAAAGTTAGGAACACTCTATAATAATTTATTATATATAATTTTAATATTATTAAATTTTAAAAATTAAGATAAACATATAGTTTTTATCTATAAATTTCAAGGATAATGTTTTAAGTAAACCCAAGCAATACAAAAGCAGAGGTATATTTAATGGTAGCACCCATTAACAAAATAAAAATAAAATAAAATAAAATAATTTAAATCGAATGATTCTGATATTTAATTTTACCATAGATATTCGTAAGGTGGGATTCATTTGTCCAAGATTATTCTTTTAAAAATATTATTATTATTATTATTATTATACATTTTTACTAAATGTAATTTTTATAATTATTTTATACATTTAAAAATATTTGTAATCGGAGCATACGGTCCGAGACTTGATCAAAAGATTCCATCTTTCAATCTCCCTGTTGGCCTCCTCGACCTTAGGCTTCGGCAAATCATCGCCACAGCCTTACAACCCATCCTTTCTCCGTCCTGCGAGACGATAGACACAACCTTGACGAACCCTTTCTTCTCCTCTCACCTTCGTCCGTCCTTCCCATCTAAGGCAAGATGATCTCCCCGATACCCCATCGGGAGCATGAAAGCCAAGTGAGCCAAAAGCCAATGGAGAGAAGTGGACAAGGATGAGCTCATCATCATGTTTTTTGTTTTGCATGGGTTCCATGCATGGCCTTTTATTTTATGCGCCGCCCTCTCTCATGCGTTACATGATGTATTCGTAATACATCAGTCGGTTAATTTAGTTGGTAGAGAGATCTTAATCACAACACTATATTGCTTGTCGTGGACTACTGGATTTTCTTTCCATAGCTCACTGTGGTAGCTACATTAACCATAAAAGATTTAGTGGATTAGAGATTAAGATACTAAGAAACAATCTTGTTTGCTTACTGATTAGCAAAGAGGTCGAACGTAATTACCTATCCTTTCATATAAATAATATCACAGATAAAGATTAGTTTGAATTGTGAGAACATGTTGTTGTTGTTTCTTTAATATTGTCTTACACTGATGATGTCTACTTGTTGAAAACGAGTTTTCGCTTCAATAGGAAATTGTAGATATCATCAATCTTCTTCTATTCAATACGTGACACAGACATAAATGATAACAAAGCTCATCTTGTTGCAATTTAAAGTCCTACCGTGATAGTGTAATGATAATGATCATTGTTTTTAATCAATAGTCAGTTTGAATGTTAAGAGAAATGTCAATTAAACATATCACTTGGAAGAAATTGATGATGCAACTTATCATGATATTTAAAGAATATGTTTCCTCGATAAGGCATTTATGTCATATAATTGATGACGTTTATAAAACTATATAGATTGACATTCCTAGGGATGTTTGTATGCTGAATTCGCTAAACTTATTTGATCAATTGAATTCATTATGAGTCTTTTTGCATTGTCAAACAAACTAAAAATAATTTAATTATTAGAAAGACCTTGCTGAATGTATCCCATTCGATATGGTCTCTTATAGGAATGGATTGACATAAGATAATAAAAGATATAAGAATATTCTTCATCCTTAAACTAAAGTGAGATAAGTGATATGAGAGTTTTTAGTCTTTTGACTAAAACTGGATATACAAAGATAAGAAGAGTATTTTATGAACATTTTATGATCTTCTCGTATTTTAGATTTATAAGTATTGGATAAAAATGTTTGATCTATGGTTAGTTATGCCACTTAATCCTAAAACATATTCGAGAAGGGAGGAGGGGACAAATGATATGATCATTGACACCATTTAGATTAATATTTTTAGGTATGTTTTTATTTTGAACTTACTAATCTTATCTAACCCCTTCAACTTCTTATAATTTTATTTATTTAGAATAAATTGAAACTAACTTAAGAGTTTAGAGGAAAAGGTATTTTGTTTTTTATGAAAGGATTGAAACATAATATATGATATACGTATATTTTTTGCCCTTAGTAGAAGTATATGATACATGAGATACTATAATTTTTCATTATCAAATTAAAGAAAAATTATGAGACAAAATATTAACATTCTTTATCTTCAAATGAAATTTTCCTACGATTACTCTAAACTTTCTCTTTTCAAATACAATAATAATAAAAAAAATAGGTTAGATAATAAAAAAATATAATTTCACCATATTCAGTTCAACTATCAATATTAATTATATCATTTAATAAAAAATATCTATATTAAAATAAACTTAAGTTGGAGTTTTTCTTTTATAAAAAAACAAAATGAGGGACACCAGATTCAATCTTATAATATATTATATTGATAAAGTCTTTACCAATTAAATTAAATTTAATTGATATCTTTGTAAGTTTAATATGAATACTAATTATTAAATGATTATATAAATATTAATTAGTAAGTTTTAGCCTAATGAGACTATCTCTTCCCCATCCCTCTCCTTAGCTGGATGGGATGGGGGCATAAAAGGAAGCCAATGAATGCGCAAGAGAAGTTGAAGCAGCGGCGCGAGTTGGAGCTGCAGGACAAGAAAAATACCTTTGGGTCCTTTCAGGTGCCATTTAGGCCTCGTGGGCAAACCGGAATCAAAGAAAGGACAGAGACAGATTCGGGGGTTGGGTCCGGGAGAGCGTGACCTGTGAGCGGAATCAAAGACCCGCGGAAACAGCTTGGAAGAAAAGCCTCGCCTGTCTTCTCTGTATTGGTAGACTGTCGCAGGAGAAAATTGGGAGAATGCGAGGTTTTGGTGCTCTAGGTTTCCCTTTCCTCCGAGGTAAGAGGGAAAGTCGCCTCCTTTTTCTAATTGGTGCCATTTTTTTCCTCCATTGGACTCTTTCGGCTTGTTCAAAATGCTGGTTTTTTTTTAGGATTTTTGCGCTCACATATGAATCCCAATTTGTTTTTTTTTTTTTGCCTTTGTCTTCTGATGCTTTCTAATTCGGATTTTGAGAGAGAAGTGACTTTTGATGGCTTTTTGTTCGTAAATATTTCTGGAAATGCTGGGTGCTATGTGTATTTGTGGAGGAATTGCTGAAAAGTTCAGGTATGTAACGAGGGGAACTTTGGGGCAAGAGGCACAAAAGTACTGGATTTCATGTGGGCTTGTCGGGAGTTGGTCTTTGATTAGATTCTTTCAGCTAGAGACTGTAAAACGCGGATCTTGGTGAAATGACATGGGCCTTCTCTCTAAAACGTCTTTCACCCATGTCCTCTAGGGTCTTCTTGGAGTCATGATTTATGTCATTTTTGTCTCCTTCGTCAATTGCCGTTGCTCCATTTCACTCTCTTTGAATGCTGGAGTATATTGTGTTTTATATAGAATATGACTGTTAGGTTTCATTCTCAAGTAGGGAGCTTGAGAAGAGCTTCGACTTTAGTCACTGCTGATAGTTCTTGTTTTCATTTTCTGGAGGTTTTATTTCGTGATTTGATCCTTGTACTGAACTTTGTCTGTTGATTTTGATCTTCTGCAGTGCGCTATTTCTCAGTTTCGTAGTTGGTTAAAAAGCTTGAAGATAGAATATCTGTTGTCAAGTTTCTTAGTCTGTTCAAAAGCTTTGAATTAAGGGTATTCCAGATTGCTACGTCTTCTTAGCTTGTGAACCTCTCCAAGATTAAGGTGCATGAATCTGGTATTGGATCGTTGAATTCTTGGAAACAAAAAATGTCCCTCCTTGTATTTATTTGTTGGTCGCTATCAAAAACTCGCAAGGCTGATTTCGCATCTTGGTCTTGCTTTTCGTATTTCTGTTGATTCTTATACATTTTCTTAGATTTCCTTTCTTGTGTTTTCAGAAGGAACATCTCACTGGACCTGATACATCCTGGTTAACTCATATAAGGTAAATTTTACTTGATAGAAGAACAAAATTTAGTAGCCTTTTTTTTTTTTTGGGTGCACATGCCACGCGACACATGCACCCCTTGTGCACATGTGCCCATATATATAATTAATTGTTTGGAAACTCAAAATGTTATACATGCAGAAGTTGTAGGCCTTTCTGTGCTTTGAAATGCATTCTTTCCTTGGAGAAATTTCGGATATTGATTTTATGTTTTTTTTTAACATATCTCTTTTCAAATAAAGGGGATTTCTCTCATCTTTTATAGAGATAAAAGTGAAACATATGGCTAGATCAAATGATATGAGTTTGTCCAAGTAGCAGAAGTTGAAACTGGACATGAGTATGTTGGTGGGGACATGCTTCAGCCAAGGGAAGCTGACATACCTGCCCTTTTCATTTTCCTGGTTGTGCTTCCTCTTTTCACATATTTTTTGCTTGGGAAATGGAACGAGTCTGCAAAGAAGAAGGCTAGGATAGGTATACTTGCTCAGCTTTCTGCTGAAGAAGCCTACCAAATCGAAGCAACGACGTCTGTTCATGTTCCTTTAGTTTTACCTCCTTCAAAGACTGGATTTCATGAATGTGCTAGATGCTTTGCTCCTGCTACAACACGCTGCTCCAGATGCAAGTCGGTCAGATACTGGTATGGATTGTGCATCATTACTGGATTTCTAAATGCTGTCATAATTTCATAAGCTCCAATTCTTCTTATGTTTTTTTACATCTATACATTATCCGTATATCCAAAAACATTTTGCCAAGAGGGCTGGCATTGGTATAACAGTAAGATTGCATTTTTGTGACCTACTGATGATCATGACTCAAGTCACACAAATTACTTCTTTATTTGTAAGGATAAAATCAATTCTTGTTTATTTGCTCCGGTGAACAACTTTTATTGTTTCTGCATCTTAAAGTTATTTAATTGTTGCATATTTTCAGTTCTGGAAAATGTCAAATAATTCACTGGAGACGGGCACACAAGCATGAATGTCATCGCTGGCATGGTAGTTCTGTGAATGTTTCTGCTGGCCTAATTCTTACAGACACAGTTCATCACAAATCTTCTTTCCCTGGCAATGGTGTTAAGGAGATCACTCATTCCAATCTTCATAATGACATGGATGATCCTTCCTCTATTGCCATCGAAACATCTGAAAATTCAGAGATGGGAAGGAAAACATCAGACAAGGGGGTTATTAATAAATCAAAAGGAGCTAAACCTACTAATGATGAAATTGCTACACATGCATGTGTCCAAGACTATGGCCATGATTCTTTTGCTCAAGCCTCATTTACTGACCATTTTACTGAGATTTCTCCAGCAGATGCCCCTATAGAACAAAAGGTTCTTATTATTTAAGTTCATATTGTATGTGCTTTCAAGAAGCAATTTGTTAGTTTTTTTGTTAAGCAGTTTCTTATGACCATGCTTATGTACTTGTGGTTTCAGTTAGGATATGGAAGCTTAACTGCTACCTCTAGCGAAGTCCTTTTAACTAAAGATGCCAACAATTCATCAAATGCTAGAAATGCAATGAACCAGCATAATAAGTCAGCAGGTGAAACAAGAAAAGGATTGAAACAAAAAGGTTCCCCTGAATCGTCATCCCTTTTCCATTTGGATAAACATGTGATAACTGAATGCCAAAGTGGTGCAAATATCAATACAGAGAAAGTTGACACTTTGGAGACTGGTTTGTCTTCTGCTAATGAAGCAGTCCATGATAGTTACCCTGATGAGCATTCAACAAAACAAAGCATGATGTTCAGAAAACCCCCCTACACTTTGAGGCATTCCACTCCCTTGATGCAAAAGTTCCCAGAGAATGGTTCAAGAGAATACCGTTCTCAAGGACCAGGAAGAAATAGCGACAAGGAACAAGGATCTAGTAGGATAAACATGACTTATACTTTTTATGAATTGTGGATTCTTATTCATATTTATTTCTTATTCTTATTTTCTCAAAACATGATGCAGAAATTCCACATAAGATTGCTTCCTTAGACAATCACTTACAGGACCTCAACAAGAACCCAAGCATTGAAGGGAGTTTGGCTGCTGCAGAGAAGACTTCTAAAGTTCTTAAATGGAATCTTGTTGGATCAAAAAATTATAATAAAAAAAATAAGGTTTGTTTTAAATAATGTGTTCTTGGACTTAGAAATGATGAATTTCTTTGGACTACTAAATCTCTGCCTTTTGATTACTGAAACTTCAGGTTTCTCAGATGTTGTTTCCGTACGAGGATCTTGTCAAGTTCTTTCAACGTAAAGAGGGGGGCATATATCCTAGGGGGCTTCTTAATTGTGGAAATAGGTATGACTTACGAAATTCTTATTTAAATCATTTTTTCTAGTGGGATCTTTATTCGTGAAAAACAGGTTGTGACATATTTCATTATTCTATATACGATTCATGAGCAAATTTGTATGAGGCTTGCTAAAGAAGCAAGCTTTCTGCTGTAAGGTTGTGAGAGGATTGATTTGTTACTTCCTGATATACCAGCTTAAATTCTAGATATGTACATAAAAATATTTATTTCTTTTAGAAAGAGAATTAAGCTGAAAAGAGAGAAATATGGGATTGTAAGGATTGTAGTCTTGGGTTAGCTATGTGCAATCTCTATGTTGGCAAAAATTGATTGCATTTATTGACCCAAAATCTATGTTGTTGGAATCATAGTTATGTCTCAATACTCATCTTAATTTAGCCCCTAAAAAATGGACAAAATTTGTTGCTAAAGAAACCTTAAATTTTTTAAAGAATTGTAGTAGTTTGAAGTTCCTTGGTGGATGTCTCAACCATTTGGGGTTGGATACATAGATCTTTTATCGTTCGTTGAGCTCCATATCATACAATATTCCTAGTTAAATTAAGAGCAATTATGTTTTTTATTATTTATGATAAAAATTTCTTAATACTCCCAGTATCTCTCCTTGCATCACTAATCTTAATCAACTTACCTTGTCTAAACAAAATATCAATAGATATCCTTTCACCATGTCCATATCATTATAAATGATCATTTTCTCATTTTGTCATCTATCACGGATTATACTTAATTGTTCATGAATTAAAATATATTTATATTGTCTTTTTGGCAATCCTACGCGTTCACCTCAATATTCTCATCTTGGCTATACTAACATTTTGAATTCTATTTTGTGATCCGAGAATTAATGTTCGGGTTTCTTTGTACGGACAATCAAGGTCTCTTATCCCGGTTGGACCTTTATGTACTGCAACTGAATATTCTTGGACTAGGTTTTGAAACAATATAATTACATGAATCAAGTCATAAAATTTAAGCCCAAGGAAAACCAAGTTATTATGGATAATGTTGTGAATTTAATAATTTAGTTTCTTTTGGGAATTTCGTCTTCAGTCAATTAATGACAATAACCAAATACAGATTAGTATTCTTAATCATCACTTTCATTATCATCATTGTCATCCTAAATAAATATTAATATTCATAATCATCACTTTCATGATCATCATTGTTGTCCTCTAACTGTTATCTTATCAATAATAGGTAGTTTAACTCAAAATAGAGGTCTCCTTTGTAGATTTCATAATTTGAAATTGGCACCAAGATTCTAGCTCAGACATTGAGGGACTTCCCAAAATCCTCTTAGCAATATATAGACAAATATGTACTCACTAGAGGTCATATTTATGCTGCATTGTGTTGTATCCTGCTTTTCAACCAGTTGCTATGTTTGTATGTATATCTTCTGTCCATGTCATGCTTCATAGCTTCCAGATTTTGTAATGGAGTTCAGAATTTAATTACGGGGGCTGTGTAATCTGGCTTAGAGGTGGCCATGCAAACTAATTTGAGCATGTGAAGGTAGCTGTGCAAATTACCTTGAAGGCATTATCATTAACTAACACCAAATTACAGTTCTTATAGATAAATGGTTATGTTTCAAAATTTTGGTTTTGGATAAAAGAAGATATTTATAAATGACTCGAGCTGCTTTCGAAATTTATAATTTTTTGCATAAAGTTTTGCTAGCTTGTAAATTACTTATCCATTATTGGAAAAACATAATAAAAATGCGGCATGCACCTTATCTTTTACATCTATAGTAGTTTTGAAATTTTATAATGCTGGACTCAGATTTAAATGCATTTGTTGTCGACATGATAGACATATATCTGTGCATAGTTTAGGAAAAGCCATTGTGGATAGGGATAAATTGAAGACATTCCCAAGTTGGCCAAGGGACCTCACTAATCGAATGCCTAGGTCCAATTTGGATCAAAGCATGATCACCAAGCAACTATGTTGTATTCTTTAGCATATTCTTTTGTATTTCTAAATTTTTAATTTTCAATTTTTTAAAATACATTTAGGTTCTTTGATGCATTTGTTTTCTTCGTATTTATTTTATTTGTTTGAAACCCTAAACCTCGATCCAAATCATCCAACCCAGTTGTTCTTACTAAGTTCCCACCTGATTTTTTAAAACATTAATCAGTTGACTTTGTAGTTGGATCATCTATGGTCGGTACATGAAAAAGGACTTATCTATAGCTGATCTAATTATTGTTGTTGAGCTCCATTGCTATCCATGTAATGCTCCATGTTATCAACTGTGATTTTGGAATGAGTTTTTTGCACCTTCATTCGGATCTTTCGATGTTGTATTTCAGGTTGTATCTGTTTATTACCCATTCTGGAGAAAATGTCATCTGCTATCATGAATCCTATGGTTTGTGTGCATGTGACGTGCAATGTATGTGCCAGCCAATTAGTCAACTAGAAGAAATACAGCACAAATTTGTGGGTTGTAGTGAATATTTACATTCAAAGGACCATTTTGGAACATTTTTTCATTTTCTTATCATTTAACATGGATATCTAGATATCTGCATGGATAATTTTCTTTTATTTAGCTCAGCCTATGGTGTTCGAGAGGATTAGAGACATGAGGTTACTGGAAACAGAACATCAATAACTTTGGGAGCGTGTTTTATGTTCCAAGATAAATACTAAAGGTATATATGGTATCTACCAAGAGCAAGTAAAGACGAGATCAGATTGCATATAATTTGAGTTATCTTTTTATATCGTTGGTTTTTAAATACATTACAACAACAATGAAAACACACACATCTTAGTGTTTATGACCTTGCACATGTGGTTGATGTGCCTATTCCAAAATAAAATAATGCACATGCATAACTGTTTTTTGGTTTTGTTTTGTAATGTTCTCTAGCAATTTCTCTATTTAACTCCTGCCACTTTGTATATTGCAGTTGTTATGCTAATGCTGTTTTGCAATGTCTCACTGGCACAAAACCTCTTATGGTCTACTTACTTCAGAGATCGCATTCGAGAACCTGTAATTTTGACTCTTATACTTATTTTTCTGAGCAAAAAAATCAGAAGTTATGTCACTTCATCTGAATTTCTTTGTCTCAATTGTTTTCCATTTATTAGGCCGTGTCAAAGAATGGTGCCTCATGTGCGAACTTGAGCAACATGTTTCAATGTTGCGTGAAGGAGGTGGCCCTTTGTCTCCCAGTAGAATCCTTTCAAATATGAGAAATATTGGTTGCCGCATGGGTGGTGGAAACCAAGAAGATGCACACGAATTCCTAAGGTGTAGCAAACGAAAATGCCACTCTTTTTGTGTTCCTTTATTTGTTACTTTCTAAGTTCTTCATGCGTTACACTTCAGAAAAGGGATGCAATAATCTGTTCAAGCTGGACTGAGCATCAGCCTAAGAAGGGTTAACATGCTGGGGTCTAGATAGACTATGGCTGAAGATGTTGGTACTGCTTTGGGTCGGTAGTTGGATGAAATCCGAGACAAGCCATCCTAGATAGTGACTGATTATTTCATTCTTTTTTTTTTCCTGATATCAACTATAAAATAAGCCCTAACTCAACCTAAGAGTAAGAAATCATAGACTGACCCCATCCTTCTGTGACTGCATGAGATTGGGTCTTGGTAACAACCTGTCCAGTCTAATAGCACCTTTTTTTTTTATGCTAGTTCAATTTATCTATGCACAATTTCCAACAGCAACCTTCTGAAGGAGTCCTATTGATGTATCTTGGTGCAAAACCAGGCTTCTAGTCATGCAGATGCAATCTGTGTGTCTCGAGAGACTGGGTGGTGAGAAGGAAATTGATCCAAGGTTGCAAGAAACTACACTTATACAACAGATATTTGGTGGTCGCCTAAAATCAAAGGTCATCGATCTCACTTTAACTTCCTGCAAAATTCCTTTTGTTGGCTTAGTTTGATCTTCATGACTTAATAATAAATTGCATTCAGTTCTAACTAAGGAACCAAAAATGAATCAAGGTTAAGTGCCTAAGATGCCATCTTGAGTCTGAACGATATGAGCGCATTATGGATCTTACTCTGGAGATACATGGATGGGTTGAGTCACTGGAAGATGCTCTCACACAATTTACTGCTCCTGAAGATTTGGATGGAGAGAACATGTACAGATGTGGAAGGTTTGATCAATAGTCCTACTTTATGTATCTGACTTTGTTGTTTGTCACAGCTGATTAGATTGTTCTATTTGTAACATAGGTGTTCAACATACGTCAAAGCCAGAAAGCAGTTGAGCGTACATGAGGTGCCAAACATACTAACTATAGTTTTGAAGAGATTCCAGGTATTAAGTTGCTGAACAGATGGACTTTAGTAATTGCTCTGTTGGTTTCTACAAAGTCCAGTGCATGTGAAACATAAATGTGGTGGTACCTTTTCATTTTATTAGAAGCACTTTTTTCGTAGGTCATTTGAAAATTCTTGTTTCATTCATGTACCATTATGCTTTCTGTTCTAGGTGATACATGATGGTATTGCTCAATATCCTTGTGTGTTTTCAGCACATGATAACAAACATGTTGCATGATATATCAGAGAGCAATTAATGCATGACCTTAAATATTGTTGACAATATTCCTTGTCACTAACATTAGCCTGTAAAAAATTTGACCTCGGTTAGAACTTCTCCTGTGCATCTAATGCATGGTATCGTGACCCCGTCTCTCACAGTGCATTGTTGTTCTTTATCTTAATTAGACAGGGAAGTATGGCAAAATCAATAAATGTGTTACCTTTCCTGACATGCTGGACATGATTCCATTTATGACTGGGACTGCTGACAATCCTCCCCTTTACCTGTTGTACGCGGTTGTCGTGCACTTGGACGCCTTCAATGCATCATTTTCTGGGCATTATGTTTCGTATGTTAAAGATCTGGAAGGGACATGGTTCAAGATTGATGACTCTGAGGTAACTAGAGTTTATTAAATCAGTTTATGCTGCATGATCTTGATTTGTGGCATTATTAGTGTATCACATGCTTGATGCCTGTTGTCTATTTCACCAAGCAGACCAGCTATTTGTGAGATATTATTCTGTAAATTTATCTACACACAGCTTATCATCCATTTCAGTTTGCAAACAATGCCTCATTTTCATATTACATGTTTCATGCATTTGGTGCTTGGCTTTTGAACATTTCTTTTTAAATATACCAAAATTTTGGGGTGTCTTTACTTTATTAGTTGACAAAAAACATTAAAGATTCAAAATTTTAAATCTTGATCCGATAATGGTTTTGGCAACAGGTCAGTCTGGTATTGTATCATCATATGACCAGTACTGACTTATATATTCCTGTACTGATCCTTTGTCAGACCGGTATAAATTGATCGGTACACATCATTTTACTGGTATTTGAAACCTTGAGGAAAACAATACTAATTGGCATGATACTTCAGTTTACTCCCTGTCATCTCTTGCCAGTTATCTATATAGTATGATTATTATTGAAACATATTTCCTGATGGGCTTATCAGACATGTTAGACATAGGAAAAGCTACAATTGTACAGGCAAAAGGGATTAGTTATCCTTGTGAGCTTCAATGCCGTCGTAGTGTCATGCTGGTGCACGATGATAGACATGATAATTAGCAATGATACGTAGTAATCAGTCAGAATCTTCAATAGATGCTGCTGAACGAAATCTCAAAAGTTTTGCCAATCTTATAATGGAGACAATGGTATATTGCTCATCCTGGATGGACACCTTCATCTATTGCTCGTTTTAAGCTGTTAACTGATGAGTTAATTATGATTACGAGAACAAATTTCATCAATTGTTGCATATCTAACTAGAAGGAACAAGCATGTCAGAATAATTTCTTCAGTTAAGCTTGATAATACTTTTCTGATCTTATATCTTTAAACCAGGTGCAACCAGTACCATTGAGTCAAGTGATGTCTGAAGGTGCATACATGCTTTTCTATTCAAGGTATGTTGTCTATTTTGGTGAAATAGTGGATTCATTCTTGTCAATTTGCTAAATCATTTAATCCTCAGATCTTTCCCACGTCCCCCTCGAGCTTATACTGGGAAATCGCTATCAAGGCCTCCGACATGGACATGGAAGAGCAAGAAAGATTTGAGAAATGGCCAACATGGACATGAAATCTTGTGTGTCTCAGAATATTCAATGCACCTGGGAACTGATCCCGTAGAGGAAAATGAAGATTTCACGTACCAAGGTGCTGAGTACATCCCAAGACCCTCAAGCAGAAACATGCTGCCAAATCCAACACATCTGGATGCGTGGAGTATGGAGTTTTCTGATGCTACATCTAGTGATTGGACTCTTTTTACAAGCTCGGACGATTCATCCTTCACCACCGAGAGCACCAGAGACTCATTTAGCACTGTGGATTATTGGAGACAAGACCAGCCTTGATGCGACTCTTTCTTCTCTATTTTGGCCGTTCGATGACTCGGAGTATGTCCACAGTGACACCATTGCTTGCTCAAAGTTCTTTCTGGGGAGCATGGGTGATGCTACGGATCCACCACTGCCATCTCGACCACGCAGCAGGGTACATAGACGAAGGATTACGGAATGGATCGGAGCATATTCATCGGAACGTGTAGCTCCGGCATGTTTGTCTGGTCAACAGGAGTAATCCCAATAGAGATGGCCTCCAGCATTTCGTTTTCGTGACATGTTAGATTCTCTTAGGTATAGCGGACATTCTAACGGATCCTTGAGCTAAATTTGGTTGCGTCTCATGTCTTTTAATCTATGGAGACGTGCCGACTCGTAAGAGGCGTTTGTCAGGGAAGGCAAGCAGCATTTATGTAGAACTTAGGTGAATTTAGAGAAGTTTATTGATATCTTATAATCTTGTATGTTAAGTGGTTTAATCTTGATATTTAGAGAACCAAGGCAGGCATGTTCGTGCGTTGACTTTTGATGGTACGGCTTGAGGTGAGAACACAATCGAGAGATATTGAGAATTAAGATTTCAAAAGAGGAAGTTCCTTTTTCGAGTGAATAATTTTCAGCTTCAGATGAAACTCGGATATCCAAAGAAGGAACCTTTTTTTTTTTTTTTTTGAGATTTTCATATCATACAATATCTTATCAAATTTTTTTCCCAAATGGATAACACTATAGAATTCTTAATTCCATGGGATCAACACAGAAATAAATATTTATTTTGAAAAAAATAAAATTATATAAAATGTAAAAAAGATTACTAAATGAGTTCTTAAGATGCAAAAATAAAATGTCAGAGGTGTTTAATGTTGAATTTATTTTTTAAATCTACAAAAATAATTTTTTTATGTCTGAGTAATTTAATTAATTTGTTAATAAAATAATTTTGATTAATTTAAGGATGTTTTACATAGCATGTCTACACTCAACAAGCAGAAAGAGAAGCAAAGGCAAAAAAAAAAAAAGATTTTAAATATTTATTTTTTATAAGAATTGAAGCCTATCAATAAAAAAAATCATCAACAAGAGAGATTATCATCTTTAAATCAAGAATATTAATATCATATATTAGATCTGATGAAGTTATAATCTTGGGTAAATAATTTAAGAAACTAAGCAGATTGCAAGCATGTCAAGTTCAGATTCTTTTGGGAGAAAAGATAATAACATCAGCTGCAAATACAGGTATGATTTTTGTGAGGAGCTCAGCATCCAAAGTTCATCTGGTCCAATATATTTTGTGTTTGGAGAATACTGGAGGAGGAGAAATGGAGGACAGTCCCCCCACTACAGCAAAGATATTTTTGGCAGTGTTGATAACACAGATCGATCGCATATATCTAACAAGGAATGCCCCCATCACTTTCCATTTCAACAAGGAACAAAGTGCCCACCACAAGTTCTCCTGCAACAACATCGCTTTTCCTTCCATCACCACAATCACCACCTCCTCCATTTCTGGACTCTAAAACACAAATGCATGGTTCAGATGACAGCTGAACGAGTTACTAAACCCACAAAACCAAGAAAAAGGGAGAAGTAACAAGAGGGAGGAGAAAGGAAAGCAAGCTTCTCCCCTGTCCTCCCAGAAGAAGAGATCACATGCAATGCAACCATGAAAGGAACACGCATTAATGGTACAAAGAGCACCCCGACAAGCCTCTCTCCGGCACTATCCATGCATTACATCCCATCCCTTTCACTCCCACATCACGAAGGACCCGAATGAACTTAGAATGGCAGTTACAGTTGGTGTAACTAAAATAAATTACACAGGGAAAATTAGGCTACAGCCATATATAACTACAACTTCCTGCTCCGACCAAGTCAAGGAAACAGGGCCGGCCGATTACTGTCACCTTCGGTATCATCTCTCACGTGGTAGGGGCACAGTCAGTGGCCGCATTGCAGCTGCTGCGTAGCTCCTCACCGCGCAAGGTGGTGTCAGTGGCGGTAGCATCTGCCATCTTCTTGAGGCTCTGCTGGTAGTAGACTTGTCTCAGCCTCTCTATCTCCTTCTTCAGTGCCTCCTGGTGAGCTGCATTTGCGTATACAAACCACATTTCTATAGATCCTTCTCGCACGATCCTAACATAAATTTACCCTTTCTATAGAAAAGCTACATAGATTGCCATCCAATTTACCAGATGCTATCCATCTCTAAAAGGCCTTAGTGCTTTGCAATGATGACACCAAGTCATGCAGACTTACCGTCCTTGAAGATCTTATCTTGCGCGAGAGCAGCAATTCGTTGCTTGAGGTGGCTGTTGCCCATGGTCAGGAGAGATCGCTGCTGATCAAGGAAAGCTACTCGAGGGGACAATGCTGACACCTCGGTCTTCGGATCAGCGGCAAAAGAAGGAAGCCCGATGTCGAGAATTCATGTCATGGTATGGTATGAATTAGCTTTGATTCATCTACAGCACCACAGTCGTATAATTTGTCATGTAAGTACAGCGCTTCGAGGATCCAAGTACCTCCAATGAAGTAACGCTTCTTTCCAGCTCCGAGATGTACTGCAGCTTCCTCACTCGGGATCTCTGCGCTGATTGCCGATTTGCCAATATCCTGCTCGAGAAAGAAGAGAGATAAAATTGGGGATTTGTGAGGTTAATTTGATCGGCCACGAGAAACAGTCAGCCGTGGACTGACTACATTGAGGTTTTTGATGCTCACCTCTTGACCCTCTTGGGGTCAAAATTTTGCTCTGAACCAGCAGCCAATTTGGCTTCCGCACATCGCCCAATCTGCGGAACATTATGCGCCTCGTATATCCGCCGTTTCTCTTCTATCTTCTCCCCGTCGGTATGGTTGTCATCCGATGCTTGCAGTGGGTTGGAGGAGTCGATAGGCACGGCGTCAGACGGCGAATGTGGCGCCTCGTCCGAGAACATTGACATCAGCTGGTCATCATCGAGCCGGCCGAACTCATGGCCGCCGCCGACGCCAACACTCTCCACCGGTGCCTCCAGGAACGCGATCGAATCGCTCGCCGACCTCCGGTGCGCTGCGCGCTTGGCGGCAGAAAAGTCGAGGAATTCGTCCACCCACGAGTCTGCAGTGCCCATGCAAAAGTTCTTGTGGTGGACAGAACCGTGCCAGTCGGTTGCGGCGTTGGGAATCTTAGGAGGCAACTGCGCCATTCGCTGAAGCCAAGGAAGAAAAAGATAATGCAAATACTACAAGGAAGGAACCGATGATGATAAGAGGCAATGCGAAGATCGAGGCACAAGAATTCAGTGAGAATTATGGTGTTGTAGTGGCGAAAAGGCGATGACTCGGTCTATCCATCTCCTCACAAGGAACAAGGAACACTCTTGTACTGCCGTTGCTGCTGTGGCGCATTGGCAGTGGGTTTCCCTCGTCGAAGATGATTGAAGGCAGGCATCGGTGGAGGAGGAGGAGAGGCGTCACATGACAAGGAGAAGAGGGACAGCTAGCAACAGCTGGGTGGAGGTAGAGGGCAGGGAGGATGCGTGAGAGTTGGGGCTCAGCAGTAGTAACACAAGAGAACAGTTATATTAACTGGCGCCACATGCTGATGTGACCACAACATGAGGCCTCCGAAGGTGGGAGTGGGCTGTGTGCACTTTGGGTGTTTGTTTATTTGTCGAATAGCTTTTCTCATGCGCTTCTCTTCCGCACAATACAGATATAACTACACTACCGGAGCTACAAGGAAAGGATGCCCGGTGGCCAGTATAATAATGGCGATGCGATGAAGAGGTGGTGGGCTAAGAAGGGTGTGGGGGGAATGATAGAGGAGGAGGAGGATGAGGAGGAGGAGGAGGGAAGACCTTGGATTCAATTCACGTTCTTCCATGTGCGCTGCTTGCACGCCACTTACAGCCTTGTTTTATGCTCGTTCACATGCATCGATCACATATGTGCGCTCTCCTTTTTTTCTCCGATACTGCTTTTGCTTCCAGCGTCCACCACCTTTACACCTTCGTTCCTCCCCTCCCCCTCCCTGCTTCTTCTGCCAGCTTCGAGCCTGTGTTCGATATGTAGAGCATTTTCCTCGGGGAAAGAAACGCCATATTTGTAGGAGGAACGATGGGATAAGACTTGCTATACATCCAAAGAATTCTGAGACTGGGATAGTCGAGAGACAGACACTCCGAGGAAATGGACGACTCCTTCACTGTAAAGTCTACATACGTTCATATTCCTCTGTCGGATGCACTTTCAAGTGGAATCTTTAGAGTAGCATATCAGATACATTATTGTGGTGGATGGCATCATTGCGGAGCCCATCCAAATCATATTTAATGGGATCGGAAAGCGATAAGAAATCGGAGTCTTCAGAAGAAGCGCACGCAGAAAATTCCTGTTGACATACGTGATTGACGCTGAAACTTCCCTTCGTAACACTAATAATTGCAATTCCATCATGGAATGACTGAGAAGCGAGGATTGGACCAACGGATGGTGAGGGAAGAGAGCAGAGAGAGAGAGAGAGATAATACATTGAAGGCATAAAGCATAGCTGTTGGAAATTATAGAACGTATGGAACCAACGTGAATGGAAAGGGATCACAGAGGAGGTCTCACCATTAATGCACGGTAGCAAATACATACGCACCAGCAGTAGTGCAAAACATGCTCCTGTCGTTGCAAATTCATATACAATCATTGAGTTGATAGAGCTCACCATAGTTTCACATCTGAACTCAAGTCAAGTTGTAGCTGCCCATGAATGGATGTTCCACTATACCTACCAAGATGTGATTTTTATTGTCCTCCTTCCACGTAAGAAAAGCAATTAATTGCTCGTCTCTTTGCATCTTTGAGCAAAACAATGTGTATATATGTAGGACTAAGAAATAATTCCACATGAGTTAAGAGATTGAGAGCCGCTTATACCAATGTCAGATGCCCGCACAAAAATTCACAAACTTATTGTGCATCATGGATCGAAAGTTATTGTGTGTGTTGGCTGTGGATGATCCTCTTGAACCTGAAAAGTATCTATCTATCTCATACGTCCCTTTAAATGAGGGCCTTAGTTTTTAGATTCTATTTATGAAATCTATTTTAAGTTTTCCTCTTCTTTTCTGACCAAACCCGAATTTGGTTACTTAAGTCCAATTCGAAAGAAAAATAAAATTCGATTCAGTATTATATTGATTCAGCATAACTCTATGAAAAAAATGTGTATATTTCTGATGTAGTCTATACCAAATTACCTAATAAATACCGAAGCTACTAAATCAGTGTCATCAAGGGAGGCACTGAAGTAAGAGTAGCTCTAACGGAAGGCATTCGGAATTTGATGCTCATCGATTATAAAGATTTTAAACGAGGAAAAGCCTCCTCAATTTATTTCTAATTATGTCTCAATCTCCTTTTACCCCCTGCTGCTTGAATAATGTAAAATATATTATTGTGGGAAGCATATGGTTGATCATGGTTAACCCAATTGTTGCACAAAGATCAACACCGAGAGGTATTTCCTGACTCGATTCATTCGATACTCAAGTTAGCTTTGGGGTGATTTATAGTATAAATATGTTATTTTTCAGAGAGATCCAACCCTTGGGCTAGCATCGGAGGTTGGCTTTTATATATATCCGATCAAGAGAATCGCTTGTAACAATCGTAACGCTTTATCTTTCGATCAAAAATCACTTGTAATGGTCATAACGTCTCTTCTCTAGCGTTTTGTCCATGAGGGCGGTAGGCATGTAACGATTGTAACACCTTCTCCCTGATGTTTTGTCCACGAGGGCCGACCAACGGGGGATAAACCCAAACGGTCACCCATAGGCTGCTGTCTCCGAAGGTTGAGAAGGTCAGCCTAAATGACCTCTCGTGGATTATCATCCACGGGAGTCAATAGGACATAGCTACCTTCATGACACTGTCTTGTGAGGGATGATTGGGCCTTCGTTTTTTCATATTCACTCCTGTGATGATAAACTGACGGGATGAGATTGATTATCAGAATATTTTCTATCATATATCATGTGTTTAGAGGGTGAGCCCATCGAGGAACAAAATTTTGTTTGTACGCATATTTGAAGTAATACTAGTGTAATTTTGTGCACCTATATCAAAGTCATTCAAAATCAAGCAAGTATATACTTGTTTCTATGCAACAAGAGTAAATTGCAATGCATAAGCCAGCATATATGCTCATGAAATTTTCATTGGCCAACACCTCTTTGTCGTATATAATCCCTTATCATCATGTGATCGATGTGTCATCACCCTCCGAACAATGTGGTGATCGATTTAGTCATCTGAAAACTAATACACGAGATCCGATTCAACAAGCCGCTAGCAATATTCTTTGAGTTCAATGCTACACAATCAACCATTATGTCACAGAGATATCTAATGTTGAAGGAATTTAACCCTGTCTTTAAATATAATGATCATATACCTTATTATAGTAAGATATCATGGGGATAGTGTCCGTATAAGAACTCTCTCATAACATTTATTCTTAAATAGACTCATTCTCTAGTCGAATCTTTGTAATCCTGAATTAAGTATCAGAGGGACCTTTACGGGAATACTCCCAATGTAATTTTATAGGGTTTGATCCGAAAATAATGATAAATATTAAAAAAATCATATAAAAGAGAGAATATGAGAAATAATTCAAAAATAAAAAAAACGTAAATAAAACTTACCAATCTTTCATATCTTGAATTTTTGATCGTTTGTTCAATTTCTTCTCTCCGCCCAAATGATGTCAAACGTTTGATATACTTTGAATTCAATTATGATACGACCTCATAACTTAAGACTACGATTCCCAAACTGAGATCACATCGAATCACAAAATATAATTTAATATTTCAACAAACATAGCATTCAATAAATTACGCAGACCCAAAGTTTTATGCTTTCAACAAATTTTATTGATGAATAATATTGAAGCTGAGAGTATTTTCGCAAACAAATTAAACCTCTGTAGATAGATTTTGTAATCATGCTTAACACGTAATTAACAACAACACAAGTTGTCTCTTCCAGCGACGGGAACAGCTCATGTGGCCGGCCGTAAGGAATCCCCATCTACTAAGTGCCTCCCGTGACAACGACGCCTCATCTTCTCCCGTATGGTGATGATGCCGATTCATCTACCGACCCTGAGCTCGTCTCTCTTCTTCTTACCTACGCAAATGGCTGCCGGTACGTCGCATTCAGGTTGCTTTGTTTGATCAGAGAGAGAAAGAGAGAGGGAGATGATTGAAGGACGCATGATGAGTTTCGACGGATAAAGTTGACACGCTGTCGGAAAAATACTTGACGAGTGAGAGGACTCGTCTTCACGTCGTGAGGAGAATCCATTGATAGCCAATTTCTTGATATGAAACTGATCGAAATGTTAAATTTTGTAATGTTATTGTAGACTGCAACTCGACGACTTCTACATCACAGCATCAAACTTCTCATTAACTGCAGATAAGCTCGTCGCTATTACCTATTTCACAACTAGAGCAACTTTATCCCATGGCCGATGAGTCAATAGTCTGATCTCGAGTGCGCAAAGCCACCCTCGTGGCTGCTTGAACGGGATGGTCGACATTAGGTTGGGTCCAGGCTTCGTCTTTAGATCGATCTAAGGCAGAGTAAGGAGTTGCTCTTTCTCCCTCGTCGGATTACTGCTCCTTTCTCATTGAGTTCCTGCACACAAACTGAAGTTGAAGTTTTTTTGATTTGATCCCTCCAAGCTTAAGTCAGTATTGAGTGATGTTAGGGAGAGTTTGAGTGTTCAAAATTTGACCATTGACACCGGTCAAGAGATTGACTTTTATATCTACAAACGAAGGTTGGTCGTACATGGTTTGTAATGCCTATCGGCTCCTCGGGCAATCGGCTCATACCTTTTCTACGAGCAAAAACCGACTTGCACAGATTTGCATTGTGCGATACCGTTCCGAGCCTTTTAGAGAGACTTTGTATTATGTGACGACATCTTGTACGACTTCGGACAATGTAGGACTAAGAGATCGTCCCGCCTGAGTCCGAGGTCTCGCGTCGATGTAGTGCACCATGTCATCCCTGAGGCTTCACATTGGTATCGATGTGGCAACTAAATATCGTCTTGGGGGTAGCACCCAAGTATATCCTATTATCCAATCAAAAGTATTCAATCGGTAGATACATGCAATAAATTAGAAATTTAGAAGATTACAAGAAATGTTCTAAAAGGAGCAAGGGAAAAGAAAAGCCAACAAACTAAGCCTCGCAAATATATAGAATTGACTACAGCCGTCCTGCAAAAATTGAAGGCAGGAAAATGATTTGAAGATGAATTGAGACTTGCTATCCCAATTAAGAATAGAAATAAATGCTCCCTCATCTCCTCGCTCCGTATGTTTTGTTGCCAAACGGAGGCACGGTGGTATCCACTGCACGCACACCGACGCACAGCGCACTTTCTTGTCATCGCGTACTTGATGATCTCCGGAGGAGCAAACTCCATTGCAAACAGACAAGCTTCGACTTAGTACCGTAAGAGTGGGAAACAACGTCTGCTGTCTGTAGGCAACCTTACATTTGGTTTATGTGGTTTCTAGCCGTTTTAAGTCCACCAGTCGTTTCTATAGGCAATCTAACATTAAAGCTATCATCGCAATTTTCTTTGGTAAACCCTAAATAGTTCTATCTGCTCCTCAGATTCTATGTAGCGTATTCTTTGCTTGGATGAACTCTAAGCCTCTTTTACTTCCGTCATCATGTTCTTTCTTATTAATTGGGTCGAACGAATAAAGAGTTAAATTAAATTAAGTTACGATGATTCTTGAAAACGATAATATATATTGCGAGGCGATTTCTCTCTTATACCGATTTTTAAACTAATATAGTTGAGGATTTAGATCCAACATCAATATATCAAATTATACGATCTGATATCATAAAAAAAAACTAATACTTATGTCGATACAACTTATACTTGCTAATAATATTTTAGTTGGATGTGATAGTCAACCTTCAAGACTCGATGTACAAAAGATCGCTTGTGATGTCCCCTTCGATTCTAGAAAATACATAGGACTACGTTTGTTTTAGATCGCTTATGGTGTCCCCCTCAGATTCTAAAAAATACATAGGACTACGTATCTTTGCTATGGCCGATTTATTGCTACAGTTTATATTCATATTAAAGTCTTTAAATTTATGATCATTCGATGAACATATCTAGTGAGACAAGTCATTAGATTTGGCATTATTTCCCAGCACCAAGGCGAGCATTACAATACAAGCGGCTGCTGCTGTTCATAGAAAGAGACCTCTCCTCGATGTCTTCAAATGGAACGAATGGTGATGGAATCCGTCTCTTTTGGTTGGTTGTTCGAGGCCTCGAGGAGTACGCTGAAGATACTGCCATCAGTTGTTCCTCCGGCACGATTCAACGTGTAGTGTAGTTCGACGCTTCCCTTCATCGCCTCCTTATCGGAGTGAGAGAGAACTCCTCATATGAAAGAAAGAAAATATTGTCTTATGCTCTTCATTACTTGCACGATTTGGAAGATTTGCTTAAAGGAGAGTAACTCCATCACCTTTGATTCGGCTATAGCTGGAAGAAAACATGACGACGACAAGAAGCAACTACGACTGTCACGGCAACCTAGACTCATCATGGCAAACGATCGAAAGCAGAAGCATGGAACAGAGGTAAGAGAAGAACCGAAGGCTTATACAAACGAAGAGATCCATAGACCGATTAAACGGGGAATTACGAGTGGGGTGGTAGTCATCCGGGGTGCTCTAGTTCTCTTCTTCCGCTCCATCATTGGCAAGAAGCAGAGGTAGCAGAGGGCGGCTTGTCGGGGACATCGCCGTGCTCCTCTTCGCCCTGAATCCGTGCCGGAACATGGAACCCCGAGAAGTCGGCTTCCGATGTGAACCCGATGGAGGCAGCCGAGGGATGGAGCACGGGTTGCATGTGAAGCTCGGATGTGGGATCGACAGGGTCCGCCCAACCACGGACCGAAGGCGAGTTACTGGACTGAAGGGGTCCCCTCTGAGTGAGAAATTGGCTCGGGCCGAGCACCGAGTGCAGCGGCACCGCCTGCAGTGGTGGAACGTTGAAAGCAAATCCGTACAAGCCAGCACCGCCGCTCGTCTCCGCCACATTCCATTCAGACACTCGCTGGTTCTGCTCAGCCCAGCCGGGTGAGGCATCGTCGAAGCCGAGGTGGGAGGAGCCAGCGAGTAGAGAACGGTGCGCAGGAGTTGGACTATGGTGCTGCTGGTTGGATTGGGCGTTGTGAAAGATGGGATCTTGGAAGGATTGGAGAGAGAGGCGGAGGTCTTGAGTTCGGCCACTGGTTCGCGAGAGAAGGTCCGACGGGTAGTTGTGGAAGCCAATTGAAGGGATAGAGGATGGCGAAATGGTGGTGCCACCAGCAGCAGCCATCGGGAAGAAGGACTTGATGGTATCGGCAATGTGATCGGAGTCCAATGAGGGCGGGAGGAAACTAATGCTTCCACCGGTGCCTTTGGGACCGCCGAAGCTGAAGGCAGTAGGAAAGTCTGGCATGGAAACTGGTATTAGCTTCTTGCTGGACTCCCCAGAAGGATGCTCGGTGGCAGGGGATCGGCTGCTCGGTGGAGCACAGGATGTAGAGGTGGCGGCGGCGTCCGCAGTGACAGCAGCAGTGGGGATCCAGGCAGCTGGGAGCTCGGCAAGCTGGTCAATGGCGGCCTTGGCATTCTTGATGAGCCAATCGACGGCCTTGCTAGGGCGGTCGTAGCCAAGGCGGTCTTGGACATCGTAGAATTGAATGGCGGTGTGAGCGGAGAGACGGACGCGACGGTCGCGGGGTCCCTTGGCGGTGCACACCTTGCTGTGGCGGTCCTTCCGGCCTGTGGACCGCACAATGTGGCCCCCTTGAACCTCCACGATCTCCCCGCCGGCGGCCCTCAGCCTTCCCAACCTCGAGTGGGTCTGTGCCCGCTGTTCTCGTTGCTGCTGCTGTTGGTGATGGTGGAGTGCGAGCTGGTGCAAGCCGAGGCTTCCATGGTGGCTATGGTGCTCCCCCATCCTTTCCGAAAATTGGGCATACTCGGAAGACGAAGCCGTGGCAATCGACGAGAAGGCTAAACCCCGGCTTCGTGTCTGCTGGTTGTGGCGGTGTAGATGATGCAAACGGTGGCCTTCCGTAGCTTGTACTTGTGCAGCTACTGCCACAGCTTTTTGGCGGCTCTGTTCTTCTTCTTCTTCTTCCCCTCCTTCGCTTTCTCTTGGCTGACGTTGTAATTGACGGAAACGAGTCCTCCGGGGATCCAGATCCTTGTCCCTCTTCTACCGCACTTGCGACTTCAGATTTGCTCGATTTGCTATTATCAATGCGTGCAATCTCTCTTAACTTCCTGCCCCCACTTCCCCTGGTGCTGCTGATGATCGTCTGGAAGCATGTGGTGGTGCTGCTGCTGCTGGTAGTGGTGGCGCCTCTCTTGCTTCCTCTCCGGAAAGTTTTGGCCATCCAGGCCCCAGAATTCCATCACCAGCACCAGAACTTGCGCTGTCAGTCTAGCCAACACAGTGTTTCAAGGACGAGGGAACAGAACAAAGAGAGAGACGGCGAGCGTCACTTGCTAGGTAACTCCAGAAAAAGCTACCAGAACTGTTCTTTTCTTCGGGCTAATTATCCTCGATACAAGCCAGATCTCGGCCACCGCATTTTTCCAAGGATCGGCACAGGGATGGGAGCAGGATGGAAGCGGATCAAAGGCAAGGGATATGGATGGGTAAAGAGGATTTGCGTTATAGTTGGAAAGACTGGGAGAAGAAGACGAGAGAGAGAAAAGGAAACAAGTATCCTTGTTATGGGACTGGGCCTATTGGAAACTACTGCGGAAGAAAGTAGAGAGAGAGAGAGAGAGAGAGAGGGAGGGTGGTGTTGGCAAGGACAAAATAGGCGTCAGGGATTAAAGATAGCGGCAATCTCGGCGTCCCACCCCATCACCATGACCAACTCTGTTGGATGGTGAGCAGAGCCAAAGTACTTGTCACAACAGCACTATGCTCCTCTGTTTAAGACCTCCCTCCGTCCTCAAGCCTCTCTCTCTCTCTCTCTCTCTCTCTCTCT